CTGAAGTTATTAAGGTTTGTTTTTTATATATAGGAAGAGCAATGTACTGACAGTATTTGGGGAAAAAAAACAAATATGTCTCCTTTTCAGCAACTTCTAGACTGCTTGCAACAACGCTCACCCACCACTTATTATTATATTAGAATTAAAATCGTTGAAAAAGGATAGTAGATTATCCGAAGGCGCTCGTAATCAACCACATGTAGATAATTTTATAAACTTAAGCCCAGAAAAGAAAAGACTTGAATGCATACATGAAAAATATAATAAAAACTTAACAAAAGAATTGTCAGTCTTGTTGAGCAAAATTTGTATTAAAGAGACCTTGCTACCCAAACACACCGTTATATATACATATATATATATATATATATATATATATATATATATATATATATATATTTAATTTTAGGATATTAAAACAAAAACATGTTAAAAATCGCTACACAATAACAATCAAGTTTCAACAGTATAAATGTGTCTCCTCGGGCGATGTTAAAGATAAGTAAGAAGACATCCCCGCTTCACCCTTTCTCTGACCAATCCTAATTGTTTTATTACCCCTTAAAGAGAAGAATACTTTTGCCACCAGTCCAAGAAGAAACACTTGGGTTACTACGACGCAAAAAAGACTATAGTTAAACATCGGAAAACATGAGGAAAATTAATTTCTTTTAATAATATGTGAAAGTAATCATTCTTTGCCTGATGAAGGTCGCAATAGTAGAAACTCGTGTTTCAAAAACATGAAAAATAAAGTATAATATATATTTTAAAAAGTCCACATTATAACCAAAAATGTTTGCGATTTTTCGCTTTTTTTTAGAATATACACTTTTATCTTGTTGGAACAGCTATAACCTCTTCTTTCTCTCTCTCTCTCTCTCTCTCTCTCTCTCTCTATATATATATATATATATATATATATATATATATATAAAAAAAAAAATTTATGCAAATAATTAAATAGCAATATTAATGTGATTAATGTCGAAATTGCTTCCCTAAAAGACTTAACTTACTATCAATTCCCAATGAATAATATCCTTATATTCGAGTTGTTGTCAGATGGAAGACACTTGCCAAGTACGTTCGACAATTTCAAATATTGTTGTTTGTTTAATTCTTTGTATAAATTGTTTCTTTATGATATAAAATATAAGCCACTCCCCCATATATATATATATATATATATATATATATATATATATTCAGTTGTTATCAGTAATCAATTATTGATTATATTATAATCAATAATAAAAGATTAAAGGCAGAGCTATAATCATTAGAATTAGATTAGTAGCCGTCCGCTATGGCCAATAAATAGCAGCGAGCAAGGTCCAATTTCAGTAAGGTATATCAATCATTACTGTGAGACTAGCTAGAGCTCGGAGTCAGAGCCGGAGCCGGAGCCGGAGCCGGAGCCGGGGTCGGAAATTTCAAAATTCAAAAATTTTTATCCAAAGTTAGAGTTGAAGATTTAGATGTCAGCTCTACAAACCTGCATATTGAGCAGTGTTGCCAGATGCCCACAACCATATTTCCCTAGGCAAGCCGTCAAAATTTCCCTTTTTGAACATAAAATTTCCCTTTCTTATTTGAGGCTATAATCCAACTTTAATTATGACGATGCCTGCATATTTTAACTGTTCGTAGTATCTTTACTAATTTTGATTATGTATACTGATCTTCCATGCAGATAATTAGCGTGATTTTCAATAACAACAGCGCATATATAACCTAATTCTTTGTGTTTGCCAATATTCATTTATCGTTTAGCTAATAAAGGGTGTTCTAATATCTTGAACCTATTTTAAGTGTGAATTAATTTTAAGCGTCTAATGATCTTTTTCTTTCAGATTTGGCGGACATTTGGGCGATATTATTTTTCCCGCATAATTGTCATGACTTAGATAACATGATCCAATAGAGAAATAAATACATTTTCACCAATAACATTGATTTATTTACTGCTGACTTTGATCCGTCTTAATGAAACACCCTTTATTTATTTATTGATCTTTTTCAGGATAAAATCATTTCTCTATTAATTTTAACCCATTATATCCCCACAATTAAAATAAACTCTTCAAGGAGTAATGGGAATTGCAACATCATTTAGTGTTTAACAGTGATAAAATGTCTTATTTTTTAACAATCCCCCAAGCAAGGCGGAAGTGCCACTAGCACAGAGGATTGAGAACAAGAGCAAAGAGGCGCGTTTGGAGAAAGGACACAGAAGAGGACGGAGAATAAGCTCATGGTGTCAGATGTCGATTGACATTACACTTGAATATTTGAAGATTATAAACATCGGGGAAGCAAGAAAGGGGAAGGGGGTACCACAAACGAGAAGTGCGAGAGAAGAAGCTGTTTGAGTAGAAGAGACGATTACATTTAACCGTTTTGACAGTGAAAGGGTGGGATCGAGATGCCAGCCTGGTAGTTCGCTTAGAATCATGCATTCCGGGAACCTGCGACTGTAGCTCGTCGGAACAGCTGCCGTGAAAATATTTGTAGAAGAGACAGAGGGAGGCCGCAGTACGTCTGTGGGATAGCGGTTGTAGACTAGGTGCCAGACCAGGACCTATCACCTTGCATATTTGTCTCTGGATTTTGCCGAGGACCTCGAGGCGTACAGCGGGAGCACCAGACCATATATGACAGCAATATTCCATGCAAGGGCGGACGGTTGATTTACAGATTTGAAGGGTGGGTTCAGACGAGAAAAAAAACCTTCTGGCACAACACAGAGAGCCAACTTTCCTTGCAGTAGATGAAGCTATTGATTCAATGTATTTCTTGCTTTGTGATACTCCAACAGTTCGAATATACAACGTGCATCAACATGATGTTGTTCACAAAGAGAAAATAAATCTGCTAAATTGGAGGGGGAAACTCGAAGGGTTGCACTGCCGAAACTAAAAGAGGGAAAGTAAAAGACAATTATACCATTCTGAATTAAATTCAGGAGATGCTGCAACAGAAGCAAGCTATAAAGATGTATATTTGCTTGGAAAAAAAGGTAAACCATTCAGTGATGTAGAACTCATAAAGGAATGCATTGTAGAAGTCGTTAAATATTTAGATTCAGATAAAGATAACAAATATAAAAATGTAAAATCTTTAAAGAACGACTAATACAGACCGACAGCATGAATTGGCCAGTCATGTAACAGAGCAGCTTCAAAATATAATAATAAAAAAGACAAAATGTTTATTTCTCTTTTGCTTTCGATGAATCGACAGATTCCACTAATTCAGTACAAGTATTGTATTTCATTCATGCAATAACTGATGATTTTCAATTATATGAAGAAGTAGCAGTAGAGCCCGGCGTTACCCAAGGAATATAACTGTAAGAGATAGATCAAGTATCGACCATCATAAAGACTGAAAAATAAAATTGACAAAGATTATTGTTTAAGGTTGACAGACACGCATGTCTTAAGTAGTTTTTTTTGGTTTTTCGTTTTTTTTTTACGAATTGGTCAAACCCAAAATTCAAATAAAAAAAAATTGTTTTCAATCGTTATGAGTCTACATGATTGAATAAAATTTTATTATAAAAAATTGCCATGTAAATGGAATATTTAAAGCATTCTGAATGTAAAATAAAGAAAAAAGTGTTAAGACAATAAGAAATATTACCTGCTCCCAAAAAGTGAAGTTTTGTTTGAAATCGGTTGAAAAATGTTGGAAATCAATCCCATATATAAACGAACACACACAAACACACAATCAACCTGGGTTTTTATAATAAGTATAACTTGATATGAGTTGTCCCCTTTCATTCTCGCGATGCCTCTTAATCGTGTTTTCAAATTGATTTCGTGCAAAAACAATTGAAATTTTCAATTTTTGCGCTGTCAGAACCACCGCAATGTAATTTTACGTAGTCCTGTGAAGTTTTGTTGAAATCGGTTTGAAAAATGTTGGAAATCCATCCAATATATAAACGTACAGACACACAACACACACACACACACACACACACACACACACACACACACACACAATCACACACACACAATCTGGGTTTTATAATAAGTATGATTACTTGCTGTCGGCAGACTTAAAGAAAAGACACGAGGAATAGATTTTTTAATAACTTCAAATAAACATGGCATAAGGTTAGGCTTAATCTTACTAAATTGGTAAGTGTGTGTACTGATGGTGCTCTAGTTATGATGGCCAAAAATGAAGGATTCATTGCACGTCTGATAAAGAGAAACTACAGCTCCAAATGCACTGATTTCTTTTCGCTGCATTCTGTACCAGCAACATCTCTGTGCAAATTCCGCTATTTTAAATAACAAAAGAGTATAAGTATTGCGAACTATATACAAGCAAATGACATGAGGCACCGTCAGTTTCGAAACATGTTGATGATAGATGACGATGCAATTAGTGTAGAATTTATATATCACTCAAAAATACGCTGCTTATCGCAATGACAAGTATTGGTCAATATTTAGTCTTTACGGGAACAAATAACTGACGTTCTCAAAGAAAACAATAAGTTTTGTGAATTATCAGATACAGTATTTCGCAGAAATGCTGCATTTGTGTGTGGTGTAATAACAAAACAAAAGGAGTTCAATATTTTATCATAAAAATTTTCAATGCAAAATACGAGAATAGATAGCATATTTTTATCGGATTTAGGGGTCAGAGAGCCGAATTCTAGTCGAATCTATTACATTCCCTTTATTTTCCACTTCAAGATCTTTGTATTTTGATAGATTTTTTAAAAAGTTCTTCAAATACACATTACAATCTGTAGGGACTGTCATATCAATAAGAAAGAGCATTCAGTTTTATTATTATTATTATTATTATTATTATTATTATTATTATTATTATTTCTGCTATGGACACACTACCTACCAAGTCTGCGGAAAGACCTAAGGCAGGTCGTGGTGTGTTGTTATATTACATTTTCATGTTAATTTTTTTTTTTTTTTTTTTTTTTTTTATCTCGATGAAGTTGCTAGCGT